CCTTACACTTTGTGGGTGCGAAGTGCATACCAAAGGACGGGATGCCTTTAGTCAGTTTATCCAAGAATACTTGCGCCTTCTGCTCCTCTTCGAACACGAGAACGATGTCGTCTGCATATTCCAGATCGACAAGGCTTTCTTCACAGGCTATTTGAACACCGGAGTTTTGGAGACCCTGCAGCGTTCGTCTCATTGTTTCATCGATTACAAAGTTAAAAAGGAATAGAGGGAGTAGGCATCCTTGACGGACACCGCTTTGTGTACGGAAGCTTTTGCAGAGCTCACCGTACACTCTCACACGTCCGGAAGTTTGAGAATACAAAGAACGTATTATGTTTACAAACTTCCGGGGTATTTTTTGGTGGGCAAGCGTCTCAAGAAGAACAGACCGATCAACCGAGTCGAACGCACCTGGGAAATCCAGGAATACTAGATCAGTTAAATAGGACTGCGACATTCAATTCAAACACTGGAATGGCTCGATGACTTTCGAAGTTCTATTTCTGTGCAGTCTAAGTGACTCCACGCCCTGTTAGGATAGCGACAACATAGTACTTCGCGTTTAGCCATATACCATAAGTTAAGCGAGCTATATGCCGAAACATCAAGTTCAGTCAGAGTGAGTACATTTCAGTGTTTGGCTCAACCCGACTTCCCTCGGACTATGACATTTGGACCCTCAGATCAGATCAGTGGTGGTACTTGCAGTGGTTTGGGAAATTCTATTCTTCGCTCGAATAGGGCTGTAATGTGTGGCATGTTGGATGTTCGGAAGTAGTAGGATCGAGCATACCCGGCTTGCCGCTCACATATTCTTGTTTCAAGTTATACTCTACATAGGAGAGATACAATACCACTGTAAGGAATTTCGGTTCAGCAAATTACATACATTGAAAGCAACCTGTTTCTTTTATGGGTAGTTCTGCCATTACCTGAACACTTTTGTCTTCCTCTGTTTCGGCTGCTACGCTCACGTCGAATCGTCGCCAGATGGGCTTCTCCGGGACAAAACGAAGCCCAGTTTCAGGAGATGTACTAGCACAGTTAGTAGTCTTTCTTCTGGTGTTAGAACAGGGCTGATGACGGCGGAAGGGAGGGTAGAGGAGAGATCGACGTGCCCATAGGAGACGCTGAAACGCAGAGGAAAAAACGGACTTGGAACGACTTCGAAAGGAAGAAACGCGACTTCTACGGGGGGAATCAGTTCAGACGGCGCCTAGGGTTTCGTTCGCCGGAAATCAGAGAAAGTACAAGGACCTAGCTACTCAGAAGCCTTAGGAAAAAATATCTCGGCTAATAAACCGCCAAACGATGGGCCCTGTTCCAGAACAGGGCGGAAACGGAGTTAACAGCTTGTTGAAATTTTCTATCTTCGGGTTACGACAACACTGATATAGAGTCTGTTGGCAAAGCAAATCGTTTGAATGTAGTAGGGTATTTTAGTGACGGAGCAGCACATTTTTGTCGCATGAATACGTCTGAAGGATACACGGCGAGTGGATTGTACTGTGCTAGGTGGATGCCCGTGTGAATGTCCAGCACAACACTATTTTCAAACGAACGTGACTTAAAGATGAGTAAAGATGAACCACGTAAGGTTGACACACGTAATCCAGCCACCAAAAAAAGCGTGATTTTTAGGTCTCATGAGCGTGAATCTTAAGAGAAAGGTGTCCTAAGCACAGACAGACTGTGTTCCAATTACTGACATTATGCCGTCTACCTATTATATTAGTCAGTAGCTCAAATAGGTTTTCGATGATGGACGACGTCCACACGACAAGGACCCCACAAGGGGTGAACGAACGCAGGAACGCTTATAATTAACCTACATGTGATATCTGTAGTGTGTACAGATGCCAAATGACTAGAGGAAAGGACTGGTGGCGAACTCTTATGATCTTGTACACATCTAGACACGGATAGAACCTCGGAAACCGTGGTCCTTCAGATAGTAGTTGGCTTGCATCATGAAGCAATGTCTGGAAACGAAGCAAAAAAAAACCTGACTACTCCCGCAATACTTTAAAAACAAGTACCCATTGGAGATAGCTTAGCACATATCCATATTCAGAAAGTCATACTGAGAGTTTCGTCAATACAATTAAATACTTGGGACGAAATATACACTGACTTTACGACGTGGCAGTAACCGCGCCCAGTGGAAAAGCTGTTCAGGCTAGTCAGCGAGTTCTCTTCCTCAAACCGAAACCCAAGGATATCATTCCGTTCCTGAGTGGAAATTCGTCTGCTATTTACGAAGTGATATTAGTTCATTTAACGGACAAACGGGTACTATTTGCAAAACAAAATGGTTTTCACAGGAGACAACTGAATAGCTCGTTTATTGCCTTTGTGTGCGCTAATCCATCAAGACAGGCCGCCGCAGTGTAAGCTGGCATTAGGCCTCTAAATGTATTGGTCCGTTTTGGAAGATACTGTGTGGTCCTTCTCTAGACAGAACACTCTGGGGGAGGGCCATAGCCTGAAATATAAGCGTTATGCAACCAAAGTTAGTTGATGGAATGAACCAGTGAGTGACGAGATGGAGAGGACCCGAAAACACTAACAACAAC